TAATAATAATAATAATAATAATAATACGTGCCGGATAAGGAAGAAGTGGACGAGGAAGTTGAGCTTATTAATAATTATATTGTTTGTAATAATAATATGTATGGATAATTTAATATTGTTTTTTTTTGTTTACGTTAATCATTTATTGGTATTTCAAAAAAGTGCGAAAACCATATTATTTTACATCATCCGTTCTCGTCGCCTGGACAACAGTCGGACAGCGGCCGTCAAGACCAGCACGGTTATGGTCGGAATCAGTCTTGGCGTCGAATCTGAAAATAAAAAAAAACACAGCCAAAACGAATTAGCACACCGATCACGTATTATTCGATATTATTATATTCTCGTAAAAATATAATATAATATATATATATACATATTATACAATTCGTAGAGCAGAAATACACGACACGCGATATCGATTTATTCCGCGACGATTACAAAATCTGTCGTATTCCTTGCGGCCAACTATAAAGGCAAACAAATAACAACGATAATATATAAACGAACGCATCGAGATTTCGGAATGTATAAAATATAATATATTATTATTATTATTATTATTCGCTGCCACAGATCATATTGTTATTTTATCGTCGTCGACGCGGAACAAACGTATATTCGCGTGATGTGATTCGTATGATATCATTTGTACCAAACACGCCGTAAAATATATTACGCATATTATAATAACGTCATATTTCATAGGTCGGTACCGGCTATAGTGTTCATTTCTGGTCTGTACAAATAACAGAGAAATAATACATTTTCTATTCTTATATACAATTTTTTCGTAGTTTTTTAATGAATTTATTATTCAAATAACGAGATGCACACAGATGACATATGCGTATAATGACGATAACATAATAAATATAACACGAGAACGTGTCGTGTGTTTGTGTCGAACAAACTGCAGTGTTATGATCGAACACGTTCATTTTGAAGGATAAACGTTAACACAACATAATATTAACTATGCATTATGGCGTCGTGTGGGGCCCTTGAATCGTATACCTACTGTCGTACAGTATTTAAAAATATTAATTTATGTTTTCCAATATATTGGTCCGTACACCTAGCAAAAGTATTTATTTAGCCGACAATGACGACGATTTATAGGTAGTAGGTATTATATTCTGTACAACAGCTAACAGCGCAATAATAATGAGTAATGACATTTCAATTTCAATTTCCGTCGCCAACCATTATAATATATTATACTGCTGAGGCTTCGAGAAGTAACGCTTAAGAGGACGTTAAACCCGCATGCGTTGTCCGAGAGTTATGAGTATTTTAAAATTGTAAATTTTTTGGACGACTCAAAATACTCATAACTCTTCTAAAAATAAAAATACAGTAAAAAGCCCAAGAGAAGCCCTCCGCAATAATCTTACACTTAATTTTAACGAGAGGTCAATTCACTCTACTTTTTAAGCTAACAGAGCCAAGCGCGATCTGCTGAACGTAAAATGTAATATGTTACGCTCTTGTGAGACGGAGACAACACATGCGGGTTTAAAGTCCTCTTAATAGACTCAGAATTGTAAATAAAGGTGTAGGTACATATGCGGTTGACGCAAGGGTTGGTTGTTGCGTGAACTATGTCAGATAAGTGCCACGTCTAAGAACAATCGGAGAATTTCTCCTACACGTCTTAATCTAATTTCACGCGGACATCCGGACAAATTACAAAAAATCGAGCAGACGACCTACTACAACTGCGAGGAGCATTTGGCCCTGACCCGGCCAACACAATCAATACATTATTCTTCGAGTTCTAAAAAATCATCTACTAAATAATTATATAGTACTTGATTTTATCACCGAATATTTGTATTTCGATTTATTGTCGTCCATGAAGATATATCGGCGTAATAATAATATATAATATGTAATGTAATATCATCGCGTTGAAAAACTAGTAAATTATAACTCTTATATTGCAGGTGGACGAGATCAATCCACCATCTCCATATTTTTCAGGCCAAATAAATAATAATAATAATAATAGTAATAGGCGTGTATATAATATTATGTATTTATATTTCCTCATTGTCATATTATGTTGTGTGTTGTGTATGTACCAATAAACTTATAGGGCCAATATCCGAAGGTGATAAGTATAATTAATAATTAACGGGTCGTGTTCTAACGGTGGAAATGTGATTATTTTCTCGAGCTGGTTTGTCGGAATAAAAGTGCACGTAACACGTAGTGGCAAACTCTTTTGAGGAGTTCAACTTTTTATGAAGTGTTTCACTTTATAAATCTCGTCAAGAGCCTTGTCTATTATACGAAAATGTCGGACGGATTTGGAGGGTTTATAAACTCCTCGAATTACAAAGTTCTGGGTCAGTTTGGCGTATATATCAATGTGTCCATGTGTCCCCTCAAAGATTATATTACTTGGAAACAATATTATTATTATTACTACTACCATTTTTTTCCCCAAACCAACGATAAGTAGTATTATTTTTATTGGTCAAATTGATAGATGTGCAGTCCACAATGACGTGGAGTTGGTACACATAAGTACATAAATTAGATTTAATCGTAATACCTTTTGACAGGTAAAACAATGAAGTTTTAACTTTATTTGGTTTGTGTTTATTACGAAATTGCACTTAAATTGGCTGTGATTTGTTTTTACAACTTTAAATTTTCTTGACTGACAATAATTTTGACTTGAATATAATATAACAGTTATTATAATATTTAATATGCGTATAGACTATAGGTATTAATAATAATTCTGAGTATATAAAATAACAATTGTGATTTTATATTTATCATCAATTAACGAAATTACTATAAACATTACTCAACGCTCGTTATATGAAAATGTACAAGGCAATTTATTCGAAATAAATTCAAATTTATTTGCGGGAGGTGAAATTAAAAATCATGCCATATAGTTACTACTTCCATATTTTATTGGTTTTATTAGAGTACAAAACAAAAATTTTATTTGATGAGGGTGCTCCCTATGACCCTATGAACTTATTATTTGAACATTCGGGCTTAAAACTTCTTATTTAATGTATGGTAAGTTACAGATATTGGACTACTTTAAAGTTTAAAGATCATATTCAGAATAATGTTATACTATATTGTATTAAACAATTATAATTTAAAAACAAATTGCCAAATATTTAAGTTGTATAATGAAGTTTTTTAAATCCTGAGCAAAACACAAGGTACATTTTTAACAACATAATATTTCACATTTGTATCATATTATAATAGTTAAATAATTTTCCCTGATGTTTTGTTAAAAAAGTATTAACTTTTTCTAAATAACGGTCTAAAATAATATTGATTTTAAACTCTTGAAAAAATGTTTAAATACCTACGCATACTGCATATTAATCGACTTCATTAATTACTATAATATTTATAGTTTAACGAATATACAGTTAGAATGAGGTTAGGCATGAAATATAACCATTTATAGAATCCAATACATGCTCAACCTAACTTGCACGAGTGAGTAGTGGTGAAAATATGTCTACATTCTCTATTTTGGTGATTGTTATTGGTAGCAAACTAGATTTAGTTTGTGTTTCGGGAAAAAAAGTGAGACATTTTGAGAACTTTTCTAAATCATGAGAAAAAACTTGTTTATTAATCTTTTTTATATGTACATTATTGTGTAATTCTCAAAATATGTTAGCACTATTTCAATAATTTATAGACATTTGAGGTTTTTCATTACATTTAAGTTTTATTTATTTTTTATTTATGTTGACCGTAATTTTGTGTCTCCGTTAAAAAGTTTGAACACAAGGTTTTTATAAGTTTTTCTTATAGTAGTTAACAAATAGAAAAAACACATAGACTCAATATTTTTATAATGGTTATTATTGTAGTTCAAATTTCGGAGCATTAGATATTCAAACGGAAAAATAACGATTTCAATTATTTTGTCGTTATTCAAAATCAATATTAAAATCTGAAACTTTAAACATTTTAGTATTACTTGTATTATAAGTTTCTAAACACAAAGAAAATTTAAAAATATTTAAAACAATTTTAATTAATTTTATACTAAGAACCTATTCACACCATTCTACTGGACATTTTCTAAATATTTGTTGATTCAACCCATCGATTTAAAAAAATATAATAATCATATAAATATAAAGTAAGATTTTGTAAACCATTCATATAAATAGATGACGAACCACTATATCTTTAAATCATAAATACATTATTATATTATGGTTAACCGTTATATAGATCAATAAATTATAGATAATTGCACATCAATATAGGTACCATTAAATAAACCCTTTAATCATTATATTATTAAAATCTATATAAATTGATGGATTTGTTCTGATTTTTTTTTCCAAAAAATATTAAATTAATATTATTATTTTAAATTATCTTGTGTTTATTATGTGTGTGATTAAGCAAATATAAAATAAATACTGAAATCATTTAATATGCTACCCAAATATGCATAAACCTATAATACCTATGTAAGCGAAATAATTATTATAATATCATAAATTTGATATTATCTCGAACGCTTATGTGCGCGTGTTTATTACGACTTATAATTATTATGTTTTTAGACGAATGTTCAAAAGTAAAATTCGTGTAACTTATGAAAATGAATCATATTGTGTATTTCAAATATATAGGTACAAGTCGTTTACTTTGTTAATCGATGCAAATATCTCATTTATTGTTTCAGCGCGACGATAAATATTAAATGTTTTTATTTGTGTTTGTGTCTTAAGACGTTTCTAGAAGTTTCTGGAAGACTCTCAGTGGATATTACAATAAAGGGATTGCAGTGGATTTGAATAAAGTCAACGGGTATATAGGAATAGATGGCTGTTTGTTTGATACCGGGGATTGGAAAACCGGAGTGGAAAGTTAGACGGAAAACTAGTGGCTATAGGGTCTTTCGCAGCTATTGTTATTGCGGCTTAAGCTTAATGTTTTGATTGGAATTATAAATTATTACGTACACGTGGTGTACATATTTAAATAAATAAATAAATATATATATATATATATATATATACATAATTTTTGATTAATCCCTGGACGCCACTGTGTACCATTGAACGTAATGTTACGTAATGTTGCTATAATAATATATGAGATGAATATTTATTAATCATTAAAATGGTGTATTCACATCGTCTAACCGCAATACCGTTGCGTACATATATAAGTATAGACATGTTATATTGAAATGAAAACGCAAAACATTTTTGCTATCTATTTTATTGAATATAATAGTACTTATGGT